GCCACTCCCGGCTTTTTTTTTTTCTGCTTATGTGGTGCTGAGGAATCAAACCCAGGGCCTTATGCATGCAAGGCAAGCGCTCTACCACTGAGCCACCTTCCCAGCCCCACTTCCAGTTTTTTCTGGTGATTAATTGGAGATAAGATTCCCATGGACTTTTCTGTCCAGGCTGGCTTCAAACTGTGATCCTCAGATCTCAGCTTCCTGAGTAGCTATGATTACAGGTGTGAGTCACCAGTGCCTGGCTCTGTTTTTAACTTTTTTTTTTGGTCAGTCATGGGGCCTGAACTCTGGGCCTGGGCCCTGTCCCTCCACTCTTCAGCTCAAGGCTAGTGCTCTATCACTTGAGCCACAGTGCCACTTCTGGCTTTTTGTGCTTATGTAGTGCTAAGGAATCGAACCCAGGGCCTCATGTATGCAAGGCAAACACTCAACCACTGAGCCATCTTCCCAACCCCTGTTTTTTTCCATTTTTAAGTATACTCAACTGCAGAAATTTATACATAAGAAATTTCAGATATTCTAAATTCCATGGTAAATAGAAGTAACCAGTCACTATTGGCTCACATCTTATACTCCTAGCTTCCTAGTTACTACTATGGAGGCTGAGATATGAGGATCATGTTGAAAGCAGACAAATCCAGAAGACTCTTATCTCTAGTTAACCAAGAAAAGCCATAACTGGAAGCGTGGCTGAATTGGTAGAGTGCCAGCTGTGAGCAAAAAAGCAGAGGTGGGGGGAGAGCGGGGAGGGGAGAGAGAGAGAGAAAGAAGCAAATTCAAGCCCCAGGACACTCTCTCTCTCTTTCTTTCTCTCTCTCTCTCTCTCTCTCTCTCTCTCTCTCTCTCTCTCTCTCTCTCACACACACACACACGGAGTTAGAATGGTTTTTAGTGAACATCCCCATTTTGGCTGTGCAAACCTGTATACCAACTTTATTTAGGATACTTACTCCTGCCCCCAGCCTAGTTAAACTTAGCAGTGCCTGCTAGCATACATAGAATCAATGTGCTAATCACAGACAAGTCCTGCCTGTTGGTGACAACAGCCAGCTCCAGCCCTGGGCATCACTCCCGCGTCCCCCCCGCATCTGAGGACTGGGCTAAGAACTTCTGGTAATGTAGTGTAGATTGAGAAAGAGCTATAGATACTGGCTAACACATGCAACTGCCTAGTCTCCTTTGGGATAAATGCAATCACTTTACCTAATGTTTCTTACTTTCTGTAGTGCTGCACCAGGGAAACCGGATCCTGGTTAAAAGTTTGTCCCTTGACCCTGGCCAGAGCCTTGAGCCTCATCCAGAAGGTCCTCAGCGGCTTCGCTCAGACCCAGGCCCCCCCACTGAAATCCCTAGCCAGCGTCCTTCACCACTGAAGCGGGCACCGGGCCCAAAGCCGCAGGGTAAGTATTTCCAGAAAGAACAGAAAAATGGCCCAGGGGAGAGGACAGAGGAGGGAGACGTTAACTGGCAGCAGAGGAGAGCACTTCATTAGAAGTACCCAGAGGTTGCTGGGTGTTCACTGATGGCTCACACCTATAATCCTAGCACTCAGGAGGCTGAGACCTGAGAATTGTGGTTCAAAACCAGCCCAGGCAGGAATGTCTATGAGACTGTTAATTCCAATTAACCAGCAAAAAGCCAGAAGTGGAGGAGCAGTGGCTCAAGTGGTAGAGTGCTAGCCTTGAGCAAAAAAGCTCAGGGACAGTGCTCAGGCCCTGATTTCAAGCCCCAGGACTGGCACATATACCTGAAAGAAGTATCTGGAAGTACCATTGTCTCAGGGGCAATGCTACCAATCCAGCAGGCAGACGGCCTGTACCCTGGGGTTAATGTGCACATACCCCAGGCAAAAAAAGAAGGGATTTAGCTGGGTAGGGTGTCTCACACCTGAGGCTGAGATCTGAGGATTGCAGTTCAAAACCAAGCCTGGGCAGAAAAGTCTTTGAGACTTGTATCTCCAATTAACCACAAAAAGCTGGAAGTGGTACTGTGGCTCAAGTGGTAGAGAATGAGCCTTGAGCAAAAAGCTCAGGGATAGTGCCTAGACCCTGATTTCAAGCCCCAGGACTGGCAAAATAAAAAATTAATTAATTAAATTTTTAAAAACGAAGTTTGTCAAGAGGGTAAGGAGGCCTGGCTACCATAGTTACAATAGTCACCTCCCAATCTAGCTCATCAACATTTCTCCTCTTTTTCCCCATCCAAATCTCCAGTTCCCCCAAAGCCCAGCTACCTGCAGATGCCCCGGATGCTTCCCCCACCTGAGCCCATCCCTCCTCCACCATCACGCCCACTGCCTGCAGACCCTCGAGTGGCCAAAGGTCTGGCTCCCAGGGCAGAAGCCAGCCCCAGTTCTGCAGCTGTATCTTCACTGATTGAGAAGTTTGAACGGTGAGTCTGTTCCTTGTGAGAGCCTTGTAGGGAAGGGTAGGTCTGGGACAGGAAGGGAAAATTGTAAAAGCCCTCTCAGTCAAGCTCATGTTGTGCCTCCATGTATGTCTTCTGCCTTCTGCCTGTGCCTCAGAGAACCTGTGATTGTCACCACCGATAGGCCAACCCCTGGCCCCTGTCCCGGACCCCCAGAGCCAGCTATGTTGCCACAGCCACCCCTGCAGCCCCCAGTGTCCCAGCTTCCTGAGGGTGAGGCCTCCCGCTGCCTGTTCCTGTTGGCTCCTGGGCCCCGGGATGGTGAGAAGGTACCCAACCGAGACAGTGGCATTGACAGCATCAGCTCACCATCCAACAGTGAAGAGACCTGCTTCGTCAGTGATGATGGGGCCCCCAGTCACAGCCTCTGTCCTGGGCCCCCTGCCTTGGCCAGTATGCCTGTTGCTTTGGCCGATCCCCACCGGCCTGGCTCTCAGGAGGTTGACAGTGACCTGGAGGAGGAAGAGGACGAGGAGGAGGAGGAAGAAGAGGAGGAAGAGGAAGTGAAAGACAGAGAAATCCCAGTGTCCCCAATGGAGAGACAGGAGTCCGTGGAGGTACTGACCCATGTTCACCAAGAGGCAGGACCATGTGCAGAAAACCAAGAATCCTGGCTTCTGTGTTTGGTTCTTCCCCAAACAAGGCATTGTTTCCATGTAGGATATTTTATTTCTTGCTGTTGTTTTGGTTTGGTTTTTGGGTGCTGGTCCTGGGGCTTGAACTCAGGGCCTGGATACTGTCACTAAGTGTTTTTGCTCGAGGCTAGTACTCTGCCACAGCTCTACTTATGGCTTTCTGCCAGTTAATTAGAGATAATGGGGCTGAGAATGTGACTTAGTGGTCTAGTGCTTACCTAGCATGCATGAAGCCCTGGGTTCGATTCCCCAGTACCACATAAACAGAAAAAGCCGGAAGTGGTGCTGTGGCTCAAGTGGTAGAGTGCTAACCTTGAGCATAAGAAGTTCAGGGGCAGTGCCCAGGCCCTGAGTTCAAGCTCCAGGACTGGCAAAAAAATTAGAGATAATGGACTTTTCTGCCAGGGCTGACTCTGAACTGAGATCCTGAGTAGCTAGCATTACAAGATGGAGCCACTTAGCGTGGCTAGCATTTTTCTTTAGCTTTTTTGGTCCCCTGGACCTATATACCTCTCTCCAATTATATGACTGCCAAAATGGCCATGTACTATTCCAAATACCAATTTAGGAAAGTGTTTCTGGGCTGGGAAGGTGGCTCAGTGGTAGAGCGCTTGCCTTGCATGCATGAGGCCCTGGGTTCGATTCCTCAGCACCACATAAGCAAAAAAAACTGGAAATGGCACTGTGGCTCAAGTGGTAGAGTGCTAGCCTTGAGCTGAAGAGCTGAGGGACAGCACCCAGGCCCAGAGTTCAGGCCCCACGACCAGACCCCCCCCCAAAAAAAAATTGTGGATGTGGTTCCACTCTCATCAGAGAATCATTAGGTGACCCTCCAGTTTTCTGCCTTGAAGATGGGCATCCTGGTTAGGGATCTTTATTTATTTATTTATTTTGTCAGTTGTGGAGCCTGAACTCTGGGCCTGGGTGCTGTCCCTCAGCTCTTCAGCTCAAGGCTAGCACTCTACTACTTGAGCCACAGCGCCACTTCCAGCTTTTTCTTCTTATGTGGTGCTGAGGAACCGAACCCAGGGCCTCATGCATGCAAGGCAAGCACTCTACCACTGAGCCATCTTCCCAGCCCCTGGTTAGGGATCTTTAAACTCCTTTCTCAACTAGAAATTTCCATGGTTCTGTAGTTGGGTGACACTGAGAAATTGCCTTCCCTGTGTAACCCACCACTATAAGCCTCAGTTTCTTTATCTGTATAACAGAAAGCCTCTCACATTCCAGAGAGACTTCCCCACAGCTAGGGGAGGGGCCAAGACCAAGAGCCTTAAAAGGGCCTAAGGTTGTGGAGATGATGGCTTTTGGCAGCATGGATCCCTTTCTGAGCTCTGGCCTTCTAACAATTTTTCAAACTGCATCCTGTTTTCAAACCTGGTCTGCCAAGATCAAGCTCAGTGAGAGGATGAGGCCATGGACTACTGAGATGAAATGTGCTTAATAAGTGTGTGTACAGTGAATAGGAAACTGAGCCAAGCCACTAGGAAATTGATTGTATTGATTGATTGATTGATTGATTGTGTGTGTGTGTGTGTGTGTGTGTGTGTGTGTGTACACTCAGGCTGGAACTCATGCTCATGGGCTCTTGCTTGACATTTTTGCTCAAGGCTAGTACTCTACCACTTGATCCACATCTCCATTTCCAGCTTTTTGTAGGTTCTTTGGAAATAAAAATCTTTCTTGGAACTGGCTTCCCAGTCTAGTTTTGAACCTCAGATCCTTATAAGTAGCTAGCATTACAGGCATAAACCACTGGCATCTAGCAGAAAATGGATTTTTAGCATTTTCAAGTCCTGTGACTTGATCTCAGGGGTTGGACAATCTCCCTGAGTTGTTTTTTTTGTCAGTCATGGGCCTGAACTCTGGGCCTGGTCGCCGTCCCTCAACTCTTCAGCTCAAGGCTAGTGCTCAGCCACTCAAGCCACAGCACCACTTCTGGCTTTTTCTGCTTATGTGGTGCTGAGGAATCAAACCCAGGGCCTCATGCATGCAAAGGAAGCACTCTACCACTGAGCCACCTTCCTAGTCCTCTCCCTGAGTTTTTATGCCCAAAGCTAGCACTCTACCACTTGAGCCACAGCTCCACTTCCAGCTTTTTTGGTAGTTTAATGGAATTAAGTCTCATGGACTTTTCTTCACCAGCTTCCTTTGACCTCCTGAGTAGCTAGGATTACAGGTGTGAGCCACCAGCACCTGACGATTTTTAGCCTTTCTTTGTTGTTGTTGTTGTTGTGGTTGTGGGACTTGAACTCAGGGCCTGGGCTCTGTCACTCAAGGCTAGCCCTCTACCACTCTGAGCCACAGCACTATTTCCCAATTTTTACCATTTTTATAATTCTGGTTTTCCTCATACCCAGATACTAAGCAAGCTTTTTTGCTGGCAGTGATTTGAGTGGGTGAATAAATAGCTAATAGTTATAGACTACTCAATCCTTTGGTGGTATTTATGGATAATGAGTCTTAAAAACTAAACAGTTCACTAACTTATTATGCAAGTTAGTGAATGGAAGAAATGAGAGTTGAATCCAGGAGGTGTGAGTTCCCAGTTTCCATGCTTAACCACTATGAATAAGAAAAGCAGATGAATGAGTAAATGAGGGCTGAGGGAAGGAGTATATGCCATCAAAATCGAGGGTAAGCTTTATGATCCACCTTTATGAGCCAGGGGTAAAGCTTGGGTCAGGGTTATATAAGGGTGGTGTTAAGCTTGGAGCAGCTTATAAGCTGATCTTGAATTTGAGGGGAGCAGGGTGTAGCAATACTCACTTGTTGTCCCAGGTACTAAAGAGCTACTAGGGAGGAATTCTTGAGCCCAGAAGTTCAAGGCCAGCCCAGACAGCATAACAACATGCTTTTTTTTCATTAAAAATATTAGTTTCCATTAGCTGGGTGCTGGTAGCTGATGCTTGTAATCCTAGCTACTCAGAAGGTTGAGATCTGAGGATCCTCATTCAAAGCCAGCCCAGGCAGGGAAGTCCATAGGACTCTTATCTCCAATTAAGCACCAAAAAAAAGCCAAAGTAATGCTGTCTGTTACTCAAGTGGTACAGAATTAACTTTGAGCACAAAGACTCAGGGACAGCACCCAGGCCCTGAGTTCAAACCCCAGGACTGGCATACACATACACATAAAAATAGCCAAAGCAAAAAGGGTTGGAGATGTGGTTCAAAGATTGAGTGCTTACTTGCAAATGTGAAGCCCTGAGTTTAAACCCCAGTATCCACCCCCCCCCCAAATAAAGAAGAAGAAGATAGGTGTTGGCAGCTCAGACCTATAATTCTAGCTACTCAAGAGGCTGAGATATGAGAATTGTGATTCGAAGCCAGCCTGGGCAGGAAACTCTGTGAGAATCCTATCTCCAATTAACCATCAAAAAGCTGGAATTAGAGCTGTGGCTCAAGTGGTAGAGTGTTAGCCTTGAGCAAAAAAAAAGTCAAGGAAAGTGCCCAGGTCTTGAGTTCAAGCCCCAGGACCGGTATCAAAATAAAACATTTCCAGGAAGCCCAGCGCCGGTTGCTCACACCTTCAAGCCTAGCTACTCAGGAGGCTGAGATCTGAGGATCTCGGTTCAAAGCCAGCCCCGACAGGAAAGTCCTTGAAACTCTTATCGCCAATAAACTACCAGAAAAAAATGGAAATGGCACTGTGGCTCAAGTGGCAGAGCACTAGCCTTGAGCTGAAGAGCTGAGGGACAGCACCCAGACCCAGAGTTCAAGTCCCATGACTGACAAAAAAATCCCAAGGCTTATATTAGGGTTATGATCAGAGATTATCTCCTTGTTTCTAGCTGACTGTGCAGCAGAAGGTATTCCACATTGCCAATGAACTCCTGCAAACTGAGAAGGCCTATGTTTCTAGACTTCATCTTCTGGATCAGGTGAATGGCCCCTCACAGGTCCTGGGACCCCAGAACCTTGTAGGAAGTTCCAAGGGGAAAGTGATAGAAGCCGAGCCCAATCCCACCACTGAGGCTAGCATTTAAAGGTGCTAAGGCCCCTCTCTGACCAAGAGACAACTTGTTCATGAAGCAAACTCTGATTATAATCTGAAGTTTGATCCTTGTATCAACCCTCACTTCTGTGAGCAGATATATCATTCCTGACTGTGGCTCTGACATGAATGCTGACTCTTTTCCCCTGATCTTGAATTTACCCTCACTGTGAGTCTTATTCTACCCCATGGCCTGTTCCTGACCCCTAATATAATAGAATCCCCAAGGGTAGAGATTTGTGTCTGCTTTATTGCCTGCTCCATCCCAGCCCCAGGATAGTGTCTAACAATGCAGTAGACAATCAAAAATCTTTGATAAATGAATAGATTGAATTTCAACTATTTTTCCCATTCAATCTGACCTTGACCATGATTCTGACTTCTCCTTATACCAACACCTAGCTCTAGGTTTTAACTTTGACAACCTATAGTCCAACCTCATATATAACTTATTTCCATTCCTTCGCTCCTCATTTTGAAAACCAATGCTAACCCCATAGCTCCACAAAGCTACTCACAAACATGAGCCTCACCTGTAAGCTGCTCCTTGCCCAGCTAAGCCTGAGGCCTAACTGGGTTGAGAAAGCCTGCCCTCTTCCACAGGTGTTTTGTGCCCGGCTGTTGGAAGAAGCTCGGAACCGCAGTTCCTTCCCTGCTGATGTGGTCCACGGCATCTTCTCAAATATCTGCTCCATCTATTGCTTCCATCAACAGTTCTTGCTGCCAGAGCTGGAGAAGCGTATGGAGGAATGGTGAGAGGCCCCAGCACCAGGCTGCCTACTCTTCTGTCCATTTGCATGCCAAGTCCAGGCTGGAATGGGGATAATAATAAGAACAGTTGGTCAATGTGTTAATACTTGAAGAGAGTTTAGGAAATACTTGATGTACAGGTGTTTCATGACTGAGAGCTGTTATTTTTAAGTTCTTGATGGAAGTGAGAATGGGATGTGAACAAATAGATCCATAGCCTAGGGGCAGAGAAGGATTCAGAGAGGAAGTAATGTCTAGGCTGGGTCCTGACCGTGAAGAGTAGGGTTAAAGGGCACCTCCAGGTTTTCTTCTTCCAATCCAGCCTTTAGATTTTTTTGTTAGTTGTGGGGCTTGAACTCACAGCCTAAGTGCTGTCCCTGAGTCTCTTTATTCTCAAGGCTAGCACTCTACCAATTGAGCCACAGTGCCACATCCGGTTTTTGAGTGGTTAATGGAGATAAAAGTCTCATGGGGTCTTTTCTGCCCAAGCTGGGTTTGAATCACGATCCTCAGATCTCAGCCTCCTGAGTAGCTAGGATTACATGGGTGAACCACCAGCAGCCGGCCAGCCTTTAGATTTTATGCTGCCTGTATGAATGGTCTTTCTTTTTCTTTTTCTGTCTCTCTTTTTTGATGATTGGTCTTTCTTTTATATGAATGGTCTTTCTTTTTCTTTCTGTCTCTCTTTTTTGTCAGTCCTGGGGGCTTGGAACCAGAGCTTGGGTGCTGTCCCTGAACTTTTATGCTCAAGGCTAGCACCCTACTGCTTTAACCACTGCTCCACTTCACGCTTTTTCAGTAGTTACTTATAGATAAGAGTCACACAGACTTTTCTGTCCAGGATGTCTTTGACTGCAGTTCTCAGATCTCAGTCTCCTGAGTAGCTAGGATTACAGGCATGAGCTACTGGCACTTAGCTTCTCTTTCATTTTCTTTTTCATCTCTGTCTTTTCTCTCTCTCTGTGTCTCTCTAACGTGCCAGTACTGGGGCTTGAATTCAGGGCCTGCTATTCTCACTTGGCTTTTTCTGCTCTAAGCTGGCATGCTGCCACTTGAGCCACATCTTCTCTTCTGGTTTTTTGATGGTTAATTGGAGATAAGAGTCTCACTTTTCTGTCTGGGCTGGCTTTGAAACACAATGCTCAGATCTCAGCCTCCTGAGTTGCTAGGATTATAGTCATGAGCCTCTGGTGCCATGGTTTTGAATGATCTTTCTAAACAAAAATCAGACCATGTCAGTCCCTACTTAAATCATCTCCATGTTCTATACACAGAAAATGAAGTGTGTCCCTCTACCCAGAATGTGACCACAGAGGGATGGTTCTGCTTTTCCCTCCCCACCACACACACACAACCTGCGGCCTCAGGTCTGGTCTGTTTCCCACATCAAACTGTGATTGATGAGATGAGGAGTGATCACTTTGTGTCCCCTACCAGACAGTGATGCTGTTAAGGCTCGATGTGGGATGAATTTCTATGTCCCCAGCAGTATCCAGCATAAGGCCAGGCACAGAATCAATAATGAGTATAAGAGGTAGGCCTTGCTATAAGCTCAGGGAGACCATTCCAGATATTGTCTCAAGCTGTGATCTCAGGTCAAAGCAAGCCTGTTGCCCTAATTGGCCTTATCATGTAAACTGCATTTCCGATCAAGCAGACTGGCTGAGAAATGTGTTTCGAGGCCAGGTGTCTGGTGGCTCATGGCTTTAATCCTAGCTACTCCAGAAGCTGAGATCTGAGGATCACAGATCAAAGCCAGCCAAAAATAGAGGTATGGTTCAAGTGTTAGAGCACCAACCTCAAGTGAAAAGACTAAGGGGACATCATCAGCATCCAGGCCAAGTTCAAGCCCCAGTACCAGATACACACACTAGTTTATTACAGAAAGAATGAATTAAAACAAGGAAGGTACAATGTGTGGGTAGCTGGGGCCTTTAAACCTAGCTGCTAAGGAGGTTGAGATCTCAGGATTGCAGTTCAAAGCCAGTGTGGTAGGAATATCTGTGAGACTCTTTTGTCCAGTTAACCAGCAAAGATCATAAGTGGAGCCGTGATGCAAGTGGTAGAGTGTCAGCCTTGAGCCAAAAAAGCTAAGGAACAGTGTCCAGGCCTTGAGTTCCAGCCTCAGAACTGGCACAAAGTGAAAGAAAAAGAGGGAGGGAGAGAGGAAGGAAGGAAGGAAAGGAGGGAGGGAGAGAGAGAAGGAGAGAGGGAGAAAGACAGAAAGAAGGAAAGAGAAATGAAAGAAAAAGAAAGAAAGAAAGAAAAGGGGCTTCCAATGGTCTGCCTGGGGATGGAGGCCTGTGGGGAGAGCTCCTAATGACTAAGGATCAGCAGGACCATGTCAGCCTCTGCTTCTACTCCAGGGACCGCTACCCACGCATTGGAGACATCTTGCAGAAGCTGGCCCCCTTCCTCAAGATGTATGGCGAGTATGTGAAAAACTTTGACCGGGCTGTAGAGCTGGTTAACACCTGGACAGAGCGCTCCACCCAGTTTAAAGTCATCATCCATGAGGTGCAGGTAAGTGTTAAAGCTGGAAGGAACAGACTGTGGGAGGAGAGATCTGCAGGGACCTGGTGACAGGGGTCTGCAGCCGAACCTCAGCCCCTCTGCTTCTGCTTGTCACAGAAGGAAGAAGCCTGTGGCAACCTGACACTGCAGCACCACATGCTGGAGCCTGTGCAGCGCATCCCACGCTATGAGCTGCTTCTCAAGGACTATCTGTTAAAGCTGCCTCATGGCTCCCCGGACAGCAAGGATGCCCAAAGTGAGTGTGATCACCCACACTGGCAGCCCTATGCCAGATATTGAGGCAGGATCCCAAAACTGAATTCATATGATTACCCTTTCGTGATCATGTACTTAAGATCCCACAATACCACCTCTAAACTCTAAGGCCTGTATTAAGGCTCTGATGTGAGACCCCAGGATGGATCTCTAGGTTGGGATTCCAACCTAAGTATCCAGAAAGAATATTTGGGAGGAGTTCCTCATGAGCATCTTCTTAATTGGGACCCTAGCATTTGAAGAGTTTATCCAGAATGTTTCCTTAAAGGGATTCATCTGTGTGTGCATGCACACACATGCAAGTGTGTGTGTTCATGCACACACACACACACACACACACACATTAGTCCTGGGACTTGAACTCACGGCCTGGACACTGTCGCTGAGCTTTTTTGCTCAAGGCTAATGTTTTATTACTTGAGTCACAGCTCCATTTCCAGATTATTTTGGTAGTTAATTGGAGATTAGAGTCTCACAGGCTTTCCTGCCTGGGCTGGTTTTAACACTGGATCCTCAGATCTCAGCCTCCTGAATATCTAAGATTACAGGTATGAGCTACTTATGCCGGTCTTCATCCTTTCTTTTTAATGGAATTGGAGATCGAACTCAGGACCTCACACTTGCTAAGCAGGTGCTATGACTAGCCAGATTTTGTTGGTTATTTTGCACATGGAGTCTTGTGGACTTTTGTGCCTGGGCTGGCTTCAAACCAAGATCTTCCAAATCTCAGCCTCCTAAGTACCCAGAATTTCAGTTGAAAGCCACCAGTGCCTGGCTTGCGGGTTATTTTTGAGATAAGGTCTTGCTTCCTACCCAGATATGTACCTGGGAATGATCTAACTATGTTTGCCTTCCCATTGTTGCTAAGGTAACAGGCATGAACCACCATGTCCAGCTGTTGGTTGAGAAGTGTTCTCATGAAGTTTTCTGCTCCAGATTCACCTCAAACCACACCCTTCCCAATCTCAGCCTCCCAAGTAGCTAGGATTAAGAAGGTGGCTCAGTGATAGAGTGCTTGCCTTGCATGCCTGAGGCCCTGGGTTCGATTCCTCAGCACCACATAAGCAAAAAGAAAAAATCCAGAAGTGGCACTGTGGCTCAAGTGGTAGAGCGCTAGCCTTGAGCTGAAGAGTTGAGGGACAGCGCCCAGGCCCAGAGTTCAGGCCCCACGACCGGACCCAAAAAATAAATAAATAAATAATCGTGAGGCCCAAGTAGCTAGGATTACAAGTGTAACCCACTGATACCTGGTAGATCTATCTATTTCTGAGGTTGACCCCTAGATGCATCCCCACATGAAGATGTAACAAGAATAAAATGAAACTGGGCCTCAACTCCTAGGGAGTGAGCTACCATCAAACTGTGAGCCCAGCCTGTCACTCCACACCCTCAGGCTAGGACCTTTTTACTGAGTCTCTGTGACTAAGCACATCAGAAAGAGGTCTGTGTCATCAAACTTCTCATTTTCTATTCACCAGAGTTAAAGTGGCCAGTGCCATACCCACTGGCTACTCCCCACAATGAACTCTGCAAAGAACCTTCTAGTCTGATCAGAAAACCTACAGACTTCTCTCTCTAGAACTGAGCACCCCAGATTGGTCCCTGTATTTTCTCCCTCTCAGATTTGGGTCTCAAGACTGAGATACTTCTTTCCCACACACTGAACCACTAGAAAAGTACATCACTAGATTCCTTCAGTGTCTACCCCATCTACAAAGTCAATGCACAGATAGGTCACTCCAGTGTCTACTCCATTTCTCCTTTCCTAGACTCTTACTTCCATTTTATTCACTGATTAACTCAATAGCTACTTACTGAGTGTTCTGTGCATTGTCCTAGGCACAGGGTATATGGAAAACAGACAAGATCCCAGGCCTGGGGGTATGGAAAACAGACAAGATCCCAGGCCTGGGGGTATGGCTCAATTAGTAAAGCTCCTTTAGAAGCAAAGTGTAAAGCCCTGAGTTTAAACCCCAGTGTAGGGGGGAAAAATGTGTAGACCAGATCCTTAATGTCAGAAAAACATGTCTTCTAGTTAGGGAAAGACACAATAAACAAAAGTAAATGAACATATGGGAGAATATTAGATAGGAGCTAAGTATGATTAAGTGAACTAGAAGAGAATAATGTGACAGTGACTGTCTAGTCTACTTTAGATTAGGAAATTTCTCTGAGTTAGAACCTGAAAAAGAGCTAGTGCTGGTGACTCACCTGTAATCTTAGCTCCTCAGAGAGCTGAGATCTGAAATATCTCACTTCAAAGACAGCCTAGGCAGTAAAGTCTACAAAACACCATCTCCAAAATATTTAGTAAAGGCCAGGTGCCAGTGGCTTATGCCTATAATCCTAGCTACTCAGGAGGCTGAAATCTGAGGATCACAGTTTGAAGCCAGCCCAGGGAAGAAAAGTCCATGAGACTCTTATCTACAAAAACTACTCAGAAAAAAAAACAGGAATGGTGCTGTTGCTCAAGTGGTAGAGCACTAGCTCTTAGCTCAAAGAGACTCAAGGACAGTCTCCAGGCCCTCAGTTAAAGCCCCTGGACCAGCAAAAAAAAATTCAGTAAAAAGCAAGGCTGGAGGCATGGCTTAAGTGATAGGGCACCAGTTGTGTAAGAAGCCAAATAAGTAGAGGTCCTGAGTTCAAACGCAATACTGGCAAAAGAAAAAAACAAAATGGGAGGAACTTGTTCTAGAAAAATACAACAGGTGCCAAGTCCCCAAGATGGGAAGACTGGGAGAAATTGGGAGTGGGCATATCTCTGGACCAACAGGAAGGCTAGTATGATGAGCATGACAAATAAGGGTAGAAGGGGAGAAGTGGGGTTGGAGAGAGGAGCAAGACTTCAAAGGCTGATACAAGAAGATGGGCTGAATCTAAGTATGGTGGGTGCCATGGGAAATTTTGATCTGGCCTACATGGGAAGCAAGAGAGAGAGAGTCAAGATTTGTGCACTAGTGGCTCACTCCTGTAATCCTAGGTACTCAAGGGACTGAGATCTGAGGATCACTATTAGAAAACAGCCAAGAAAGAAGAGGCCATAAGACTCTTTAGCTCCAGTTAACCAGCTATAAGCTGGAAATAGAACTGTGGCTCAAGTGGTAGAACACCAGCCTTAAGCAGAAAAAGCCAAATGAAAGCACCAGGTCATGATATCAAGCCCCAGTACCAGGAGAGAGAGGGGGGATAGAGAGAGAGATTGAGAGAGGGAGGAAGAGAGAGAGACCCATGAAATCAGAAGGGGGGCTGGGAAGGTGGCTTAGCGGTAGAGTGCTTGCCTTGCATGCATGAGGCTCTGGGTTCGATTCCTCAGCACCACATAGACAGAAAAGGCCGGAAGTGGCGCTGTGGCTCAAGTGAGCTGAAGAGCTGAGGAACAGCACCCAGGCCCCACGAATGACGAAACAGTTTAAAACAAAACTTTACATTAAAAAAATCAGAAGGCATTTACAATTTACAATGATGGCTTAGATGAAGTTATTATCAGTGGAAGTGATGAGAAATAGTTCAATTCAGGATATATTCTATTTGGAAGTGGTACTGATAGATTGGTTGGTTGATTGATTGATGCCAGTCCTGGGGCTTATCCCTGAGCTTCTTTTGCTCAAGGCTAGCCCTCTACCACTTGAGCCACAGCACCACTTCTGGTGTTTTTCTGAGTGGTTTATTAGAGATAAGAGTCTCATGGATTTTCCTGCCTGGGCTGGCCTCAAATCATCATCCTCAGATCTCAGCCTTCTGAGTAGCTAGGATTGTAGGCATGAGCCAGCAGCTCCTGGCAGTATTTTATTTTTTAGTGTGCAGGTCCTGGGGATTGAACTCAAGGACTGGTCACTGTCCCTGAGCTTTTTTTGCCCAAGACTAACACTTTACCACTTGAGCCACAACTCCACTGATTTGGGATATATTAAAGTGGGGCTACCAATTAAAACAGTTAGATCAGTCTAGAATTCCAGGAAGAGAGATTTGGATGCCATTGGCACATGGATAGTATTCAAAGCTGTGGGGCTAGCCAGAATCATGGAAGAGAGAGTAAGTCAGGAAGGAAAGAGGTCTAACAAGAGGCTCCAATGTTGGGGCACCTGCCTAGAAATGTGAGGCTGTGAGTTCAAACCCCAGTATCACCAACAAAGGCATTATAATAAATATTTTTTCTCTGTGTGTGTATGTGTGTACACATGAGCATGCATATAGGATTTGGACCTAGAGCCTCAAACATACTAGGCAAGTGTTCTACCACTGAGCTATATCATTCGCCCACAACAAACGTGTGTGTGTGTGTGTGTGTGTGTGTGTGTGTGTGTGTGTCGGTCGTGGGGCTTGAACTCTGGGCTCTGTCCCTGGGCTTTTCAGTTCAAGAAGAATGCTCTACCACTTGAGCCACAGTGCCACTTCCAGTTTTCTGGTGGTTAATTGGAGGTATGAGTCTCATGGAGTTTCCTGCCCAGGCTGGCTTTGAAATAGTGATCCTCAGATCTCAGCCTCCTGAGTAGCTAGGATTACAGGCGTGAGCCACCAGTGCCCAGCTGGCAACAAACATTCCTAAAGCTAACTTCTGAGCAACAGCTTTACTTTTTCATGAAGTGGTTTTAAGGTTATAATCAGGTTTTCATATTAGAAAAATACATTTTATCTCCAGTTAACCAGACAAAAGTAGAGGTGTGACCCAAGTGTAGAGTATCAGCCTTGAGGGGAAAAGCCAAGTGAGAGTGTGAGTCCCTGAGTTCAAAACCCTGTACTAGCATGAACAAAAAGAAAGAAACTTGAAGCCTGATCCCAAAAAACTGACTCTTCCATCCCACACACTGAAAATTCACCAAGCTCTCACACTGGATTTGCTAAATTCCCTGGTGTTAATCCCTAGCAAAACCCAGAAACTAGCCTGGGCTTGGTGGCTCACACTTGTAATCTTAGCTACTCAGGAGGCGAGATCTGAGGGTTACAGTTCAAAGCTAGCCTAGGCAGGAAAGTCCATGAGGC